AATTTTGCGGTTAGGAATACCTATTTGGATTGAAGTTAGAATCGGGGTTGAATGCGAGATGCCCGATTGTAATTAAAATGTAATTTTTGACTGCAGGTTAGGGCTGTATTATAGTTATACTAGGTAAATAACAGCTGCTTTTATATTTTAGACATGCAAGTTACATTGAGTTCACTTTGAATTAAACTTTATTGGATAGTGTCACCTGGGGATCTAAAACATGTGGTATGTATCTAATCAGTCTCAAATAAAGTAATGTATATATAATTTTATGGATTTAGTTACCTGCTGATATTTGTAAATTTTAATTGCCACTGTACACCACTGTAAGATTTGTTTAGATATCCGCATGTTATATTCAGTTTTTTCATTATTTTCTGTAGGTTAGGTTCGAGATGTCGATGTTCCGGATTTTGTTTCAAGTACCATCGTAATAATTGTTATGAAAGAATTAAACCGATTTCAAATTGGATTCAATTGCGGCAAAACTTTGAGGCACAGAAAACGAGATGGGCACTTTATCGCTGTGAGTCGAGTTGCTTGAAAACTGAATATAGTTGACATTTAAATCGATTTGGCTGGGACAGGGCATGGGGCACGTTGACAATGGTCTCCATGCACTTAGGAAAGGAAAGTAGAAGATCAACTCATTCTTAAATGTTATCAAAACAAGAAGAACCGTGTTCGCTCGTGATGTAATCAAGTGTGGATGAATGAGTGAGTAAGCTCATTTCGGAGTATAATATAATTTCATAAAATGACGAGAGATTACTGACTATACGGAAAATAAAATCAAAAATAATTCTCAGGTTGTGACTAGATTTCGGGACTACTTCAAATTGGAAAATAATGCATTTGGAAAAATACCAATATCTGAAAGATACAGACATGAGTATTTTTAGTCAATAATTTGATTTTGAACAAAACATAACGTTCATATATGATTGCTTTTTAATGTGAATAAGAAGATTCTTTAAACCGGGTTTGTCGAAAATATCGTACGTCTCAAAAACTTACGTATGTCATTATTCTCCTCCAAATCTTTGTAGTCAGAATCTCCTCTTCCATCAATGAATTGAAACACCGTTTTACAAATCTACATTCTACGTTGGTCAGCATACATATTTAGACGAGCAGGAAATCGCCTGTATCGGTTTTTATCTGCAATCAAATTATAAGTCTTTAAAACAATGTTTATGTTCATTATGACGTCATATTGGATCGGCTTGGTAAACAAGGAATGGTACAGTAATGATGAAAATTTGAATACCAAAAAAGTACCAACGTATAGCACGTATACGCTTTTGACATTTTTCACAGCTGAGGGTGACTTGAGACATGCGTAAATAAGTGATTTAGTAAGTGATAGCCTATAATTAATGCTGATAATATAAAGCGACCACAACACTGAGACGTTTCAATTGGAAATTTGCTCAATGTCACGAAAACTCGTTAGTAAATATCAACTGACGCAGTTCCTGTTGATTTGATTGAGAAATAAATATGAGGTATTGAATTCCAAATAGTTGAATCTCGTGGAAGAAAATCTCGAAGCATAGAATATTTTGTCTGGTATTTCACTGACTGTAAACGGGTGAGAATTCACAGTAAACCGAACTTGACGATAAAATTTGTTAGACTTCCCAATGCATAACGCGAATCTATGATTGTGACCATTTCTGTTTACTTGTTGTCACTAGGCTTGCACGTAATTTACAAATTTACGGAATTATTTCGAATTACGCAAGCGAAGTCACGAATTACGTAAAGTCGTAATTATTGGTCGAGCGCTTTCGCGATTGAAACGAGCTCTCTTCAGAGCAGTCAATTCCGTCGATTGTAAAAAATTAAAGTTTAAGTAAAAGAAGTTAGAGTTCCGGTATTCGCAGCCGTTTTTCTCTCTCTTGTTAGGCAGATGGGGAGGGCATAACGCGTCATTTACTAACCTATTATCAACTTATCTAAGATGGCCAATGTACATATTAACCGTAAATAAGGAATAGAATTGTGTCGAGACCGATGGACGCCAACACACCTGGTTTCAACTTCTTCGGGTGAAATGAGTGAAGAATGTAAGAGATCAACTTATAAAACATGGTCTATTTGTAAATGTCGTGATAATTAATGTCGCGCTTATCAAACAGCAAGAGACGGAAGAGAAATTGCGTAATGAACTAACGTAACTTAGTCCTTTCGGCATCGGTAAAGCGATTGAGACGGCAGAGAAACAACATTACGACGGGATTTCCCGTGTTTATTCTGCGCGAAATCCATTTTCTATTACAAAATCTTGATGTTCTGTTACCGGTTTTATCGTTATATATCTGTCCGGACTTGGCATTGCTCAATATGTTTTTCACAATGCCTCGCAAATCGCAATATGTCGGCCAAATATGATTACCTGTCTTTACCAAATGCGGCAACTTATTTTGATTTATCGTCGACCTGAATACCACCGGCACTCGACCAAACTTGTGTCAATCTTGGCAAATAGGATTGTCGACTTGAGTTAGAAAAATAAATTAATATTTTCATGAGTGCAAAATAAATGTCACAAAATGCATTGTTTTGCGATATAACTTTGTATTTTCGGAGAAGGCATGTCATATAAGTACGGTATTTTAAATAATGCGCAAATAATTAATATTTGATCTAAATTTATCGTAAATAATGTTATAACATTTAGGCCGCGAAATGATTTAATGTAAAATGAAGCATGGAATTCGGAATATCGTCAATAAGTCGGCATCAATAATTATTATAAAATGCTAACTAAGTAGTAAAGTCGGATATTGTAAAAAACGGTGAAATAACAAGTCTTCGTCGCGAGGCAAGCGAAAGTATAATCAAACGAGAGAATACGCTTGTAGTTGATTAATAAATTAGCAACCCGGAATTTTTATTCAATACGAAAGTCGTATTAATACGTCAATACGATTTTAAAAAAGTGAACTATCGTTTCTTAAATATATTACCAGTGTTGGTAATGATAAAATTGATCGCATAAAATTTGGTGATAAAGTTGATAAAGGAAAATCAAAGCTAATACAAAAGATAAAAATCAGAATAAAATTATTTTGAATTCACTCCTTGATATTTGTCTTTAACATCTGTCTCCGGCGTGTGGTACTGCCGGGAATATGAAAACCAAACTTCGATGTCCCATTCGGAATAGAAGTGGATTAAATTGGTTGGTATGCTAGGTTTAAATGTGTGAAAAAAATATCGCAATTACGGGGTCATTACGTAATCGATTTGGCCGTAATTACGGAATTGATTTTTGTCAATTACGTGCAAGCCTAGTTTAAATGTGTGAAAAAAATATCGCAATTACGGGGTCATTACGTAATCGATTTGGCCGTAATTACGGAATTGATTTTTGTCAATTACGTGCAAGCCTAGTTGTCACCATCCAGAATTAACACTGAAGATAAGAAGAATAAGCTTTCAGGTAAGTCGACTTGAGACAAGAGTTGTAGGAAAATAAAATAAAAACTTTAGTTTAGAGTAAAGGTGTATGTCGTATATGCGATAATATCTAAAAATTTCTGGCAAGCAGGTTGAAACATTAAAAATACCGTATGAAGAAAATACAGCGAAAATGCTAAATGACTATCGTGGATAACTTTTTCATTTCAGCCTATTTGTGACCAATGAGATTATGTACCATACTTTCATTTACTAAATTATATCTGAGATATTACTAAACATTTACTAAGTAACTGAAGAACGGACCAACGCGCCAACAAATACTGAAAAAATCTGATAATCACATAGCCAGTATTCATTAAGTCATTGACAGAAAGGTCATTGACAGAAGGTCATTAAGGTCATTGACAGAAACAGACCGAATCTAACTTCCTTGCATTTGAGATGATTCATTTTTTTTTTTCAATATTCAAGATAATTTGGCATTTGGTAAATATATATAATATACAAAATCTTTGTAGTATAACATATAAAGTCGCAATAAACTAGAAGCGAACATTCCCTTTTGAATGGTCTAGCTAGGAGACTTGGTTGTTTTCTTTACAGAACCGTGTTCGTGTTCGAGGTACTTCTATATAACATTGCACATTAGGGAACAATTCACGACCAACCTAAAATCCCAGATATGATCAGTTAAATATTTATTGACGATAAAATTTGCAATGGACTATATTTTTCAAGATATTAGGAAACAAGCAAAATTAAAGCGTATACGTCTTTAACTTTTTTTCTGAATATAAGCTTTTATATGCGTCGGAAGTGCAACTGAACAGTTAAAAGTACTGAAAGCTAAAAGTGATTTTTTTTAACAATTTACAAATTCAATCATTATTAATAATACTAAAATTTGTCCTTGATTACGGAAAACAAAAAATTGCAATGAACTATAAATCAAACAAGCCTATTTTTTTAATTGCGACATAATTGCTTTCTGTACAGTAGCATGTTAGAGTTAATACTACTATACAATATTATTACGTTTGGAACCATTAACGACTCAAATAGTATTTTATGTTTGCAATAGTTTAGTTAGACCGCTTCATAACTTCAGATATGATGAGATACAATATCAACGAAAGAAAGTTTATTAATATCAGGAACGAATTAAAAGTTTACTTCATTAGCGTTTCAATAGTTACAAACCCGCCTGAAATAAATAGCAAACTCACATTTCACCGGAATTATCCTATTGACCATAGTCCATAGTATATTATACTTTGGGTTTCTCCGCAGGTAATTCAGAGTGGATAAATGAGTGCATGAGCTCAAGTTGGAGTGAAATAATTTATACGAAATTATACCAATTATACGAAAATTAAAAACAAATCAATTTCCCTTTTGTGACGAGATTTCGGGACCACAGCATTTTGAAAAATATCAGAATCTACAAGCTATAGAGTGATTTTATTCAATAATTTGATTTTGAGCAAAACATTACGTTGATATGTGAATCAGAAGGTTCCTCAACAGCGTTATATTCCCAAAAAAATATTACACCACAAAAACTTACGCCTCCCATTAATCTTCTCTAAATCTTTGTAGTCAGAATCTCCTCTTCTATCAATGAATTGAAACACCTTTATACGATTCTACACACCACATTGGTCAGCGAACGGCAAGTATTCGTCTGTATCGGTTTTTATCAACAATCAAATTATAACTCCATAAATAATGTTTCTATTAATTTTGACGTCATACTGAACCGATGGCCAGCCTGGTGAATAAAAAAGGATAAATTGATTACAAAAGTTTAAATATTAAAAAAGTACAGGCGTTTAGGACCTTTGGAATGTCAATGACAGCAAACACGATTTAGTAAGTGATATAACTGATTCTAACAATATAACACGACCATACAACTGACTCGATTTTATGAAGCGCACTCGCGTTTTCTGAATGTATGTAAGATTAAAGATTCTCACGCTCGAGAAATACCTGCAACAAGACCGAACAACTCATAATATTCAATTAAAATAAATATCTTGACTAAAACTTTCTTGACGTGTTAAAAAGAATTTTTACAAAAATTTTAGTATGTTAAACAATTTATGTAGGAATTCTATTATAAAGATCTTTCAAAAAATTATGTAATTCGTAATATTAGAGAAATTCTACCTCGCGCAGTTTCGACTACCACAGACTTAAGCCCACTACACGGCAAGAGTTTCAGCTGCATTTAAACACCTTTATACAATTCTACATTCTATACTTGTCAGCAAACGTAGATAGACGAACAGCCAAATTAGATTCATTAAAATAGTGTTTATATTCATTATGCCGTCATACTAAATCGCAAACCGGCCTGAGAAACAAAGACGGATGAAATAATGATGCAAGATTAAATACCAAAAGCTACCAACGTTCAGGACCCACGCTATTGGCATTTTTCACAGCTTAGGATACCTTACAACATGCGTAAATAAATTTAGTCACTGAAACGTTGGGTTAAAAGAACTTGGCACAAACAATGTTAAATGAGAGCAATCGCGATTTAGTAAGTGATAGCCTATCCTACAACTAATGCTGGCAATATAACACGTCCATAACACTGACACGTTTTCATTGTAAATTTGCTCAAAGCAAACTCACGAGAACATACTCAAAAAATGATCTCAAAGTTAGGATAACGACGACCACTAATTTCATTTTATTTATTGTCACAATCCAGAATTATTAAAAATTTGATGAAACAGAGTTTGCAATGTAAGAGGAATCGAACATTTTTCTTCAATATCAAGAAACGAGTACAGGTATCGTATTATTAAAGCGTATTATTGTTTTACTATGTTTCTTGATATAAACTTTTATGTGCGTCGGTAGGTCAACTGAACAGACAAAAGTACTAAAAGCTGAAAGTGATTTTTTGCCGCATGGAACGAGTTTCAACCGCGTTTTGCAGGTTCAGGAATTGCCTCATTGCTGCTCACAGTCGTCGGTTGCGATCTTGTTTAGTCATAGATGCGCCTGTCGTAAAATATTTCTCCGAACCCGGACATGCAAATGAGAAATAGCAGATGACACGCAATATGAGCAGAGTTTAAAATCGTACTCCACAAAAGATTGTTCCAAATGTTCTCGGAGTCTCTAGTAAAGTCTGTCTGGTTTTTAATTAACCTCCACAGAGCAAAGTTTTTTGTGAAACGTTTGGATTTTTTTTTCAAATCCTGCGCCAAAAAACAACCCCGCCACCGCTCTAACTTAAAGAAAGTATTTATTCAGTTAAGGTTTGGCTTGGGGTTATGAATGCTGATTACTCCGGAAATTAAAATTTTTAAATCATTTATAACCCTAACTTGATGAATGATTGCTAATTTGTTATTTTAAAACTTGGCGTGGTGTTTGTCTCAAATCTCGCATTTTCCCATTAGTTTCAGGGTCTCGGTATAAAAGATTCAAATAATTGTGTGCTAACTGATGTCTTTCATTACACTAGTTCGTTAAGTGTAATAGTTTGAACTTGTTGGACACGTTTATTGGACACGTTTAGTGGCCATAACGATCGTTTCAATATTATGTTGTTGTTCTTTGACACGTTTTTAAAAAGTCGCTTTTCTCTTCGAATACTGGACCAATTGCTTTGAAATTTTCAGTGGTTAAAGATTAATTTTTTCGCTAGAAGGCTATTACTTTTATTTATTTCAAAATTTTGCGTGAATTCTATGAAATTTGATATTTCGTCTAAAATTTTGCTGTATTATTTTTTATCCATGGGAACACGGATTTTAGTCAGTGTCATGACTGGCTGTACGTTTTGATTCTGCAAAATTCTTGCTACTGGAAATTCAGAACTTTTTTGAGGGTACCGGTTGCGTCAAAGGTACCGGTGAGGACTGATTCGCTCTGGTCTAACGTGTTCATATATTTGTGCGTAGCTCTCTTGTTATTTAGATACAGTTATGTTGAACGAGAGCTCCCCTATAAGGACTCAGTTCAGTTCTGAATCTGATGACGTTACGCAGTCGACGAAAATCATCTGACGCAGTGTCCCATAGCAGTATTTCGACAGTGTTTCGATTAATCACTGTAATTAGCAAATTGATAGCAAGCAGCTCGGATGCATTGTCAGTGTCTAGCTTAATGTTCATTGTTAGTTAGAGTCTTCCGAGACGTTTCTGATGTTTAGTATTGGTTTTAGTATTCTCAATTTTGCAGTTAAAAATACCAATTTGGATTGAAGTTAGAATCGGGGTTGAATGCGAGATGCCCGATTGTAATTAAAATATAATTTTTGACTGCAGGTTAGGGCTGTATTATAGTTATACTTAGTAAATAACAGCTGCTTTTATATTTTAGACATGCAAGTTACATTGAGTTCACTTTGAATTAAACTTTATTGGATAGTGTCACCTGGGGATCTGAAACATGTGGTATGTCTCTAATCAGTCTCAAATAAAGTAACGTATATATAATTTTATGCATTTAGTTATGTGCTGATATTTGTAAATTTTAATTGCCACTGTACACTACTGTAAGATTTGTTTGGATATCCGCATGTTATAATCAGTTTGTTCATTGTTTTCTTCTATACAAATCTACATTCTACGTTGGACGAGCAGGGAATCGCCTGTATCGTTTTTTATCTGCAATCAAATTATAAGTCTCTAAAACAATGTTTATGCTCATTGTGGCGTCATATTGGACCGGCTTGGTAAACAAGGAATGGTACAGTAATGATGAAAATTTAAATACCAATAAAGTACCAACGTATAGCACGTATACGATTTTGACATTTTTCACAGCTGAGGATGACTTGAGACATGCGTAAATAAATTCAGTCACTGAACCATTGGATTGAGAGGAAATTGGCACAATGAATGTCAATAACAGCAATCGCGATTTAGTAAGTGATAGCCTATAATTAATGCTGATAATATAAAACGACCATAACACTGAGACGTTTCAATTGGAAATTTGCTCAAAGTCACGAAAACTCAAAGTGAAGCTACCGACGACTACTAAAATACCAATAGATACTGACACTATGTATATATAGAGAATAATGGTAATGCGCGTTAGTAAATATCAACTGACGCAGTTCCTGTTGATTTGATTGAGAAATAACTATGAGGTATTGAATTCCAAATAGCTGAATCTCGTGGAAGAAAATCTCGAAGCATAGAATATTTTGTCTGGTATTTCACTGACTGTAAACGGGTGAGAATTCACAGTAAACCGAACTTGACGATTAAAATTGTTAGACTTCCCAATGCATAACGCGAATCTATGGTTGTGACCATTTCTGTTTACTTATTGTCACCATCCAGAATTAACACTGAAGATAAGAAGAATAAGCTTTCAGGTAAGTCGACTTGAGACAAGAGTTGTAGGAAAATAAAAAAAAACTTTAGTTTAGAGTAAAGGTGTATGTCGTATATGCGATAATATCTAAAAATTTCTGGCAAGCAGGTTGAAACATTGGAAATACCGTATGAAGAAAATACAGGAAAATGCTAAATGACTATCGTGGATAACTTTTTCATTTCAACCTATTTGTCACCAATGAGATTATGTACCGGCCTTTCATTTACTGAATTATATCTGAGATATTACTAAACATTTACTGAGTAACTGAAGAACGGACCAACGCGCCAACAAATACTGAAAAAATCTGAAAATCACATAGCCAGTATTCATTAAGTTACCGTTAGGTCATTGACAGAAACAGACCGAATCTAACTTCCTTGCATTTGAGATGATTCATTTTTTTTTCAATACTTAAGATAATTTGGCATTTGTTAAATATATATAAATATACAAAATCTTTGTAGTATAACATATAAAGTCGCAATAAACTAGAAGCAAACATTCCCTTTTGAATAGTCTAGCTAGGAGACTTGGTTGTTTCTTTACAGAACCGTGTTCGTGTTCGAGGTACTTCTATATAACATTGCACATTAGGGAACAATTCACGACCAACTTAAATTCCCAGATATGATCAGTTAAATATTTATTGGAAATAAAATTTGCAATGGACTATATTTTTCAAGATATTAGGAAACGAGCAAAATTAAAGCGTATACGTCTTAAACTTTTTTTCTGAATATAAGCTTTTATATGCGTCGGAAGTGCAACTGAACAGCTAAAAGTACTGAAAGCTAAAAGTGATTTTTTTTACAATTTACAAATTCAATTAATATTAATAATACTAAAACTTGTCCTTGATGACGGAAAACAAAAAAATTGCAATGAACTTTAAATCAAACAAGCCTATTTTTTTATTGCGACATAATTGCTTTTGTACAGTAGCGTGTTAGAGTTGATACTACTATACAATATTATTGAGTTTGGAAGCATTAACGACCCGAATAGTATTTTATGTTTGCAATAGTTTAGTTAGACCGCTTCATAACTTCAGATATGATGAGATACACTATCAACGGAAGAAAGTTTATCAATATCATGAACGAATTAAAAGTTTACTTCATTAGCGTTTCAATAGTTACAAACCCGCCTGAAATAAATACAAAACTCACATTTCACCGGAATTATCTTATTGGGTTCCTCCGCAGGTAATCCAGAGTGGATCAATGAGTGAGTGAGCTCAAGTTGGGGTGAAATAATTTTATTAAATGACGATAATATTTCCGAATATACGAAAATTAAAATCGAATCAATTTCTCGTGTTGTGACGAGATTTCGGGACCACTTCAAACTTGCGAAATACAGCATTTTGAAAAATATCAGAATCTACAAGTTATAAAGTGATTTTATTCAATAATTTGATTTTGAGCAAAAAATTACGTTGATATGTGAATCAGAAGGTTTCTCAACAGCGTTATATCCGAAAAAAATATTACACCTCAAAAACTTAAAACTTCTTTTAAATCTTTGTAGTCAGAATCTCCTCTTCTATCAATAAATTAAAACCCCTTTATACAATTTTACACTCCACTTTGGTCAACAAACGGCAAGTATTCGTCTGTATCGGTTTCTTTCAACATTCAAATTATTACTCCATTCATATTGACGTCATACTGAACCGATGGCCAACCTGGTGAACAAAGAAGGATAAAATGATTACAAAAGTTTAAATATCAAAAAAGTACAGACGTTTAGGACCTTTGGAATGTCAATGACAGCAAACGCGATTCAGCAAGTGATATAACTGATTCTAACAATATAACACAACCATACAACTGACTCGATTTTGTAGGAAAATTTGCTCAAAGCAAAGTCACGCGAAATTACTCAAAAGATCTTTGATCTCAATTTTGTTTACTTCATTAGCGTTTCAATAGTTACAAAATAGCCTAAATACAACAGCAAACTCACAATTCACTGAAATATTCTTGTTATCTTTTTCTCTTCTCTGAAACTGGTTTGACTTCTCCTCTTTTCTAAAAGAATTTGTGTTTATTTTTCAAATGCTTCTCAGCTTAATAAAAGTCTGTCTTTTGCGCGTATCGCTGACTCTCTGGAATAAAAATAAAGCATTTACTGCATTGTTTTAACTAATTACTGCGTCATGAGGAATGTGGACAAAGAAAACATAAAAGGCTTTTAAGCTAAAGCGCACTCGTGTTTCCAGAATGTATGTAAGATTAAAGATTCTCACGCTCGATAAATACCTGCAACAAGACCGAATACATCATAATAATTAATTAAAATAAAATATCTTGACTGAAACTTTTTCGATGTTAAACAATTTATGTAGGAATCCTATTATACAGATCTTTCAAAAATGATTGTAATATTAGAGAAATTCTACCTCGCGCAGTTTCGACTACCACAGACTTGATACGCTTCAGCGTGCTGAATGTTCGCTCTGCGTCGGCGGAAGAAATAGGCGTCGTCAAAATGATGTCCAGAAATTTTGCAGACGCCGCAAAGGTAGTACTAGAGTGTTATCTATGAGGAACCCATAGAGCGCGCAAGTTGATGTGATGTTCAAAAAAGTTTGATTGGTGTATATACATCGCAATTCATTTTCCAATTTACCCACGTTTATCATGGGGTAAAATTTGGAGACAGTAGCCAACAAATGGATGGGAAATTGACGTGCAAAATTTGAAAATTTTTGGGGTTCATCAAAGAGAACGCGGCAAGGTGTTCAGTGCGCAGACGATCGCCTATTTGATTCACCAGAATGTCACAGCATTCCTTTGCAGACAAAATCAAACGCTGCGTTGTTTGCCCGCGGCGTAAAGAAGCACTCCATGTGTCGTCGTATTTTATTGTTTCCCGGATACGAGATACAGCATCGCAGAAGTCTGAAATACACGACTGCACAGACGCTCCATCCATTAGCCTTGACTGCAATGCGCTGTATAATACATCCACGTGATAGAATATTGTGGAGAAAAAAGCGAGAAAAAATGAAAACTCACCATCTTCTAGCAGACGCTTTAGACCTGCCGCCTCCCTCACAGAGCGTTCGTCCCAAACCGGAGAGCTCTGAATGCCATTGGAACACTCAATGAGCTCAGACCTAATTTCGGACACGCCCTGCACCACGCGTGATTGGAAGTTCCAACGTGTTGGTGCACAAGCTGGGAGACGGCGGCTACATATCTGGCGAAGGAGGTCAGAGCGCTTCGGCGAAACGGAAAAAAATGAAGAAAAACCCCGAAACATTTGCAAAAAATATACGGACGAGAGGGGTATCAAGACACATATTTTTAATAACGAGGTTAAATTGTGTGCATAACAATGTAAAAAAATGCGCCATGAGGAAAATCTTCTTTTATATAAACTTGAACACCATGTTTCGACCCACTCATGACTGCCGCGCCGTCATGAGTTTGAGCTATCAATTTTGACTTCGCGTTGTAAGGGCTGTAACACTTCTTTCAGTACAGCCGATATGCCACAAGCCGTGCGATCAACGATTGGTACAAAGCTGTGAAATCTCCCGGTAGGTTTACCATCTTTCACAAACCGAAAAATCACAGCCAGTTTGGAAACGCACGTGAAGTCAGTTGTCTCGTCAGACTGAATCGAAAGGAACTGCAATTCTCAATTTCCAGAGCCAAATGTTGTAAATAAATTTTATACATTGAGTCGAGCAAATCAATTTTGGATTATCCTTAGATGTCCCTTTCGAAACAGTTTGCGGCATCCAAGATGATCTCTCAATACTGTATCTAGGGATGCGGTGTATTCCACCATATCCAAAAAATACCCCCTCTATTGGAAGAGCCAGGCCCGTTCATCGTGCCACGGAGGACAGCTCGTGACAACCAATGAACTTCAAAACATCTATCAATCGACCGAGAACATGGCGGTTTTTCTCGCGGTTTTGGTTGTGCCGACGAATAGAAACCGCGCGTCCTTCATTCCAACTGTGCTGCAATATTAACATTTCCGAATGTTCGGTATTTTACTGCATTGTCCAGATGCTCCATAGAAGATTGTATGATCCCTGGCACGCTCGGAAAGATGTTTTAAGATCTCTAAAACCAAATTTACACCAACGTGAGTCACGGGCCGTGCTAGCAAAAAGTAGGCAATTAAAAACAAAAAAGTGCATTTTTTTCCTCGTTGTAACACAACCATTCGTGTTTTTTATACGCTAAGTTTCTGCGCAGAATGTACGCCGACGCTTCCTTCCGTCATGGGATTGTTCCAGTGAACAATTTTTTTGTTGATAAGGCCCAAAGACGTTGTACCTCTAAATTTTTGTTCCAGCGCGGCAGCTGCGAAAACGAGAGTGCGAAGTAGTGCATCAACCTTATTCATTATGAGGTCTAAGGCTAAGAAATGCGAAGCCGGAAAGAAGTGAGGAGCTCAAAAGGAATGTGGAAAATCGAAAGCAAATGGACTAAAGGGTCTCTAACTGAATTCCAAATAGCGAAACAAGCGACAAAAACGAAGGCGAGGAAACTATCAACTCTTCAAGCAATCAACGAACGAGAAGGAATGCGTGAATATGTCAACACGTTGTTGTAAGAAACGTCGGCATTGTGTCGTCATAATTTCGGGCTAGCCCCGATGAGTTAGTAAAAGAAACAGAAAACAATCGAGACAAACGCGGCGAGTGGAAGATAAAAGAGAGAATACGATATACAATGAGCAACCGGGGCAAAATCGGCGTCGCCCCGTCGACGTTCGGCGAAGGCTTTGCGAGCGAAAAATGAACCATGTCGGGAGAATATGGCTAGTATGACAGTCTGTGCAACCGATATTGAGGTATTTTTCGAATATTTTTTATTATACCGAAAAAACAACCGGGGCATTGCCCCGGTTGGCCTTATTGACGCGCCGCCACTGCAGTGTGTTCTCATTGCTGCCCCTGCCTGTTTACAATTGTGTGTGAGTGCGTTCTGTAATGGATCCGATATAACTGTCGGATGTTTACGTCCATAATGAGACTGAAGTTTTATCAAATGACTCTTTCAAAAATGCGTGCGTACGTATATAAGTATAGCTATTTTGACCAACATCAACAATGCAGTATTTACAACTGCTCTCACAAAAGAACCCTCTGAGCTCTGACAACACGTTGGCTAGGCGGTGTGGCTCATCGTGCTAAGCGTTGGCAATACATTTGCCATCGTACCCCCGAACTGCCCTGCTTCGGTTTAAATCCCGTAGAGATAATTATGTGCGAGGGGATTGCGGGACTCCTCGCCCTCGTATCTTGGTTCGCGTGACCGCTGGCCGGTTACCGTTTCACCACCAAGTCATAGGATATAGTTTAGTTATTTCTCCCGGGAGCCGATAAGACGGTTTAACCATATGGCAAACCATGGCCTCTCGTCTGGTTACCATTCCATGTCGGGTATGGGATTTTTAGTTATTGGTTTTCGAAAGCATGAACCATCCTACGATGGCGAGGAGTCTAGCAATCCTCTCGCACATAACTATCCCCACATGGGATTAGAACCCACGCAGAGTAATCACAGGTGCGGTGGCGAGCGTATTCCTAACGCTTAGCACGATGGGCCACACCGCCGCGTCATGCATCTGAAACAAATAACTGACATGGACTGGTAGCCGGGCAAGAAGCCGTGGTTCGCCATATGATTAAGCCGTCTTATCGCTTTCCCTCTCCCCCGTGATAAATATATATATATATCTAGTTGTGGTTCACAAAAGTCATAGTTTCCAGCCGGTTCTGTTACAAACAGAACATTGTAACCAGTAATGCTAACCAGTTCGCTGATCTCATAAAATTCCGTGAGACGGTTCTATAGAACCGGTGCGAACGGGCTGAATCCCACCACTGTATATATATATCCTATCTTATCCGAAGTTTACAGCCGTATTAGCCGTGGAAACAAATAGATATAAAATATCAGGATTGGTTTACAAAAGTACACTTGATTTACTAAGGATCATTCCACAAACTTCAAATACCGAAAAAAATAATGAGATTCGATAATATTGCATTACATATAGCCTACGTATATATCGTTATACCGTAAATATATACTACTACGCGGTTATACCGTTCGAGCCTTGGCATATGTAGATGTAAATTAAATCGATAAAGATTCATGACGTCATACTACATTTTGCAAATTATATAAAATAAATCGATAAATCACAATGTAGTTACGGAAATCCATTTTGATGACTGCAAATTATGACATTTTGTATTATGACGCCAAAAATTTGAAGCCCCCTGAACAATCGGCACATCTAATATATAAGTTCAGATGGGTCGTAAACTTTAAAGTCGAAAAAATGTTTAATCCGCTGATTATGACTACTAGTAACATATTGATCTCAAGAGGGCGCTAATAACTAACAAAGGCATTAGAGTATGGTACTATGGGCGTGTCAAGGGTGTGATTTCCTGATTTCCGGTTTCTGCGTTGGCAGGTATTGTGAAGGCGACCGTATACCAGTATACAGTCTATCGGTACAGTTACTGGTAACGTTATACAGATATATGCTTATCATTTAGAGGATTTTAAAAGTTGGGATGCCAGCTGCACAGCGACGAGTCAGCAACATCTCCTTACCTCCTCAAGGAACCGTTTCTGGTTCGGAACAGAATGTGGAAAAAGAGGAAATGTTTTTGTGCAACCGTCTAGTAGATGATACTAGAAAAGGGTTAGTCATCACCTAAACAGCCTCATGTACCCATAAAATCTAATGCCCCTTTGTTTAAATTCAGTATTTAAGTCTAGAGATCCACTTGCTTCTCATTCCAGCATTTGCCATATAAATACAGGAGTTGTTAATTAAATACACTACAGGGGTGGTGACTCCACTACGACCCATGGGCCGGGGCCACGGCCCATCTAATTGGGCCACACGTCAGGAAAAATTCAATTATCTTACCAAAATTTTCAATTTTTACAAAATTGTCAATATTCAAACCAAAAAATAAACTCCTGTAGTATGTGTACCAGGTTAGGGTTAGGGCAGAATTTTGTTCAGATTTTTTACATTATAGTTCTATTATGAGTTTGGGGACTGTCTGTGTTAGACAAGTGAATAGTTTCTTTACACAACTTGATGGGCCGCGGCCCATAGCCTGATGGGCCTAGGCCCAATTTGATGGGCCGTGGCCCCGGCCCATGGGCCGAAGAGGAGTCACCACTTCCACTCTAAATACAGGAGTTGTTAATTATTCTTAAATCAGATTATGCTATTCATATTTTGTTCTTGGTGTAACTTTATCCTATATTTGCAATGCTGAATGAAGTATTTTTTATTACAGAGATGCATTCCTGAAAGTTGACTGGATATCATGGAACAATCCTGTTGTATCAGTTTTACAAGGAATCAAAAGACCTGTGTAAGAATATATTGAAATAATGCTAACGTTAGCTGTACAACTTCGACCTGGGTTTTTAAATAGAACTGATTGAATATTAATTTCCATAAAGTGAGGATTTTGATCGTTTATAGTTGTGTTATGAAACATATTTTGAACATTGGGAATTCATGATGTTTTAAGAAACACATTGAATAATAATTGAGGAAGAAGACTGTTAAAATTTCAAGGCTTCTGGTGGTATTCCATAATCTAACTTGTTGTTGCTCAAGGTTTTGGGTGACACTTTTTCTAGATATATTCGTTACTGTTATTTTGCAGTTGAAGTTGGATAAGAAGTATTTGAAGCTTTGTGAGTTGTGTAGTATTCATGATCACGAAACTGAGTATTCGATGCACATATTGCGCATGCATTCATTTTTGTGAATCTCGGGTTTTTATGATGCCTTCATCAAATATACGGTTGGAACGGCTGAAATTAATTCACAGTTGGGCAATTACATGGAATTAGAGACAAGTTGGAAAAAATAAAAATGCGCAATTTTGCATATAACCAATATTATCATAGTATATATCTTCTTTTCGGTATGATGAAAAAACAAAATTAACTGATATGCTGGAGACTGGAGTGGTATCGCCATACTCATGAAACTATATTTTTTGTGTAATTCTTATTCTTGGCATCATTAAGCAGCAATCTACTGATAACAATTTCTATTATTGAAAGTAACAATTTTTTGTAAACGAATATTTGAATCACTTTCCAGCAACATATCATCATCTATTCCTATACATAGCTACCATAACAACATGATGTGCATACTTTTATATTTATTTTAGTTGTATAAATTTATCAATATTCAATGCCATCCAGGTATCATCCATAAAATTTGATATATTCAGGTATATATTCGGCCACTGATAAAGCAACAGCCGATGTGAAATAAACAAACCAATTTGGCAAATTACATTCCTATGAACTTATCACTTCAACAATTTAACAGAAATTGCTTAGAAAATATGGAATTTCATTGAATTAGGATGAATTATTGAAAAATTATATACTTCCAAGGGGATTTGATACCTCATCATATCTGACAAGCCCACTTTCCAACTATTGTATGTGTGGTAGTGGTGGGCAGCATACTTCCCTCTTCAAAGCTTAATGTTTTTATTGTTTAAGTGAATTATATTATTTTATTCTTTATTTTTAAGTGCATAGTTTCAAATTGTCAATTTGGTCTTGATAAGGAACAATTTCATTTCCAGAATTTATCTGTTAATTATGGATTCATAGTTTGGAAATGTAAATTTAATGTGATTGAATGTTAAATACTGACTGAATATAGAATTTTTCAAAAAAAAACGTGAAACAGACCTTGAATGTACCAAATGATGTAACGCTCAGTTTCTAATTCGAACTGAAAGTTTGGATTTGGGTCCACGGTTTTCATTCAATTTTGAATGATTTTACAACCTAAATATATTATCTAGTGACTTGGTGAAAAGTATTTGCTTGGCTTCAATATCTTGAGATGGGGACCACCTTAAAGTTTAACTGCAAAAAGTTGTCCTTATTCCATAATGCAGGTTCACCTATTTGTATGTACACCACATACCGGCCATCTCTATAGTATCTATATTATAGGTCAATGCTATCTACAACTAGAAACATTATCACATGATTGCTTATAATAGGCTTCAGGTTAAGTCAGTTAGAAAGTTGCTCATATTTAACAAAATAAAGCAGGAATTGTCCAGTTTTGATGTAGTGTGAATGGTAAATCTAATCTAAGCGACAACATGAGATTGAACGTGAAATTAGTAATGTTGGTTTACTTTACTTCTTGTTTTTTGGAAAACAATCCCCATTTTCATATGTATGTGACAATAGCATGTTTGATAGTATCACAAGTTCATACAGATATGCACCCACCACCCTCTTTGCACATTTGCATGGGATGATAATTTCTTTTGCTCAAAAACAATATTATTGTCTTCGATTAACTTCCAAATAAATACTTTTTTAGGTGTGGGATGGTTGCATTATGTATGGCAGGACATCTTCTGAAGAAACATGACCCAAACATTACAATATATGAAAATGATGAAACTATCCTAGAAGTTGCACAACGCCTTGGATACACAAAGCAGGGAGAAATGTTTTCAGGCAAAAATTTAACTATCATTCCATATATCATAGATTCTTTCATTAATCTAAGTCAGGCATTATATGCATCTTCTGTCTGAAGATACGAGAATAAACGATAATGTGTCTGGTGTGTATATTTTTGTAAACATGGTAAATTACCCAGCAATCTGCACGCAACATTGCTTTTGAATTAAAACTAATGTCACCACCTCTAATATACCTATTATTTTTTGACAGCCAAAAATTATGCAAATCTAGCTGAAGAAATATACCAGTGTCAAACAAAAGTTATAACAGAAACAATGATTGATTCTGTGCGTAAAATATTAAAGCATTTGGCATCTGGACTCCCAGTTTTAGTACCATATGATACAGATCGAAATTATGAGCCTTGTAAACGGAAGGGTCACAAAGCTCATTGGGCTATTTTGACAGGTTTGTATATAATTTGTTCCATATTGATAAAGTTACTAAATAAGAATTTCAAATATCTTTATTAATTGCTGTCATAAATTTATGAAGGATTCGTTATTGGACAGCAGAAAAGGATACAAGAAAGCAGTAATGTAGAGTTTCCTGTGAAACGAATCACCAATCCAGAAGAATTAGCAAACAACTTTGAGAAATTGACATTGAATCCATCTCTAGTATATTTATATGCAAAACAAGGAAGATCGGCGAGGCAGCAACTATGGTCATTGAGAGAATTAAGTGCCAGTAACGCAAACTTAGTTGAAGTAAGTCCCGAGAGAGATCTAAATTTATTCCATATACCCCAAGAGGGAATTAAAGAAACTCTTTGCTCCCATATTGTGTTTCTTTTCCCAAGGAAATGATTGTATTATACGACTCCACCATCATATGTCATGAGCATGTCTATTTCTGTCATTCGATTAAATTAATTTCAAATCATATACACAAGCGCTTTCCAGTGGCAATACCCAAATCATGTTGAATGTATGCATAATCATTACAATCGCTGCTAAGATATATTTTGTAGAGCACTGATCGATTGAGCCATGCAATTGGGCTGCAGGGGTGTTCCAATGTTTGTGAATAGCTATCTCAATAATTTGATCTGGTTTGAATGCATTTTATATAACAACATTTGTTGAGATCCAGTTCATACAAAGCTTTGCTAGTTAGAAAACACTATTACTGACCTCTTTCTTAAAAACCATTATTTGCCCTAATTTCACACTTACATGTAGGTTGCATTATTATGTTAAATGATTTATATCGGTATTATCCCATGTTCAAAATAAAATGTGCAAAATATTAATTTTAAATAAGTGTCAAATCATGCATCCATATCAAAGTTATCCATTTTATGTTTTCATTATGTGTAATAGATATTCTGTTTTAAATTCTCTTGTCTCTTTTGATTGTCTATGCACCATGTCATTCATTGCTATAGTGTCGTTGTCACTATTTTAATAAATCTCAAGAGGGTTAGTTGTATGTAACCTTGGTATCGTCAGTTGCTGAAATTAGAATTTTATATTAAATGGAAAATTTAGCACCTCTGTCGTGGAATCAATCTGTTTCCGAAGTTCCGATATTGAAGTAAACCTGTAAATAATCTCAATCATACGACTAGCCATGTGCTCTTTGTTCGGTTACTATTCAAGGGCGTATTCGGATAAGCAGATATATATTCTCAAGTAAACTGGCAATTTTAAATGTCTTACGAGCTAGCAGTATAGGCTCAAATCTTTATCTGCATGTCTAGACTGGTGGTACTTATACCATAGGGAATCGTGTGCTGACGGAGAGTGAAGGACGAAGTTTATAAATATAAGTTGGTACGGTATGCTATATATAATATCACTAATTTACCACCGGGCCACTACTGTTACATTGATTTTAAGTATCAAAATATATATATATCAACGGACGTATTTTGAAGGAAAATAACTTTCGCAAACAAATAAGCCTGTGAATAAATAATACATTGGAAATAAATACTTTAAAAAATCGGGGGAGCATCATCACGGCACGAATTTTCTGAACACAAATTACACTACAATGCAGTTTGGTCCAATCTGTCTCATCAGGCATTTTTATTTTATGTTGATAAATTTAACATATGCGCTCATACTTCAAAAGACATTATGTCTTTGACTCATGCAGAGTTGCATTGTGTATGAGTGAAACTGAATTGTAGGGCAGGGCTTTCCAACTGGCGGGCCGCTGTCCAAACTCCGAACCCGACATTTCGAGTGCTAAACCTAGAGCGTATTGTCGAATCATACAAATAACCGTCCTTAATTTTAAAGGACAAGGCTTTAATTAAGCATGCGCATACTTGCGGCGTAAAAATGACATCAGCTAATTAATTTAGTCGTTTTGTTGTTTTTTAGGCACGTGATAATATATATATAGTACATATGCAGTATAATTGCATTACTGCACAATGAACATAGAATAATTGTGTTGCGGCATTAATGAAACATGCGACCCGCGGGTTAGGCAGCCCTGGTCTAAAGACCTGTTTAAAGTGGCTGTGTGACATTTTTACCGGTTTTACAATGTTGCTGGTGATAATCACCGGAAAAAACTTGCAAGGATTACTATTAATATCCTGTGAAATTCACAGGTGATTTACAGCGGTTTCACCGTAAAACGTGTAATATTTACCCTGAAATGACACTGAAATTTCACAACCGCATTCCAGTAATATGTAGCGCCAGGCGATTGCGGTAAAAATTGCTTCGAGCGCAAATATATGGGATGAAACCAAATTTCTAACTAACTAAGAACGATAAAACAAAACGATCAACACTTGAGCTGGGGAAAATATATCTTTGGATATATATATATAAGTAATGTACACCAACTTATCACATAGATAGCGTTGTAACTCGAAAAAATTGACGACTTAGATAGTTTGTGAATTCAGCAATAACAAAAAGTCTAATTTTAATAAAAATTCATCATTTGGAAATGATCCAGTAATTTTTGAATATTGTAAAATTTAAACTAAACAACAGGCTTGCTCCAAACGTGAATGACTTCTTAAATGAAATCGCACTAATTCAAGAAAATTTTAGCATGATTCAAGTTCTAAAGCGCTTGCAGAATACAAAACAACTAGCGACAAGTGGACACAATTCTAACCAGCTCAAAAATTAAAATGAAATCTAACACTTCGTAAGCTGGTTCATTCGTGCTTTCGGTCCCAGGAACATCCAACGTATATATATGAAGATTGGCCGACATTTTTCGGCGAAGAGCCAGAACAAATAGTTTGTTTCCCTTATATATATTTAGAGTTTAGCAGGTATGTGTCATAGTGTACTATATTGAAAAATTTATCAAAGTTGGCAACTCTAGGTGGTGGACTGGAGGTTGAGGATTTCTACGTTAACCTCTGGACATGACAATTGTATTCAAGTGCACATCACGTCATAATTGTTGACTGGTCATGGTAGTTGCGTTTCAGAGTTTCAAACAAATTGTAAAAAAGAATACATTACCGTAGACGTAGATGATATATCATTTATTTGAACAACTTCAAATTCTGAAAGAGGATCATTCATATACACATCATTTACCCCTAATTTTTGTTTCGTAATGAGAATTTTTATGGCTGATCGGATTTCTGCTCGGTTTGATGGGTGGGTCACACAGCCTCTTTTATTCTCCTCCAATCGTCAAGATAGACGTTAGGGTATCCCATTTTACTAGAGTTATTTGAATCGCCAGCAGCATTAACCTCATGCTCATTTATTGGCAGGATTAGTTTTGCATGACTTGTTTTCATCAACAAAACTAGCTGAATCACCTCTTTCGTCGACAGCGCTCGCAGATTTTTTTTTGACTGAAGTTTCAAAATATTTCTGGTTGATGGTAAACTATTTATCTCCATAGAAACCTTTCTTCTTTCTTACGACTGATACTTTCATTTGTAGGAAGTCGTCAAGAATTCGATGGGGTTTTGTGATATGGAGTTGGGTCACTAATATTCGATACTTTTACGGTGTCAATATGTGCCTGGTCGAGTATATTTTCAAAAGCAGCTGACGTTCATCATATAGCGCCCGCAAGTAAATCGGATTCTGTTGCAGAAAGTTCTGTTTCAGCAGCTTTCTTACAGATTCTCGGACTTGGGTTTGCTTTGTCCATTTGTGTCGGATTCTCTCCACTGACCAGAAATCATCGACAGTGGACTGCGTCGTCACCATATTATGAGTGACAATTCGAGTTTGTTCAATTTTATTTGAAACGTTTTGATCATTTATGCTTTTTTATGATTACGAATATGTTTTGCTTTTATTGGGCCGATGAGGATTTTCACTTGGTTGCTGTGCAGATGAATTCTTCTCTGCCGACATAGTAGACTTGATATTTTCAGTATTGTACTTCGGCGGTCCAGCATCGTTCATGAATTTGATGCTGTTGTCTTCGGATATAATAACTAAGATTTGTTTCAGAGCAATAAATTGGCGAATAAATTTCCTATAGCTGATTTTTTTATTATCAACTTTTTTCGATATTTTCTGAAGCATTCCTCAGGCTGAGTACATATCATCACGAGCATCATAAAAGTTTTATAAAGTCTTTTTCTAATTTTGAGACACTTCATGACCTTAAAAATAAACAATAAACGAGATCGATAATTTATCATGTCGAGGAAGTGCTATCATAAACTGCGCCATCCTTTTAGTTAGAAGGAATGTGATTATCACCAAAAAAAAAACACTACCTGGGTTCTTGGAACAGATGATAGAGATGTTTCAGCATCAAAGGTTGCACATTTAGATGGCAGTTTTAATGTATAATGCTACTGAAATCATTAAATTTATTTTGGCCTTAACCCCCGCCAATTCAAAAGTTAACTCGAAGAAATGAGTGATCAGCATTATGATTTGGTGTATTTTTGTGAGGTTAGATGGCTAAGTCGTGGTGCTACGTTGCAACCGTTTCTTATGATTGTGATATTCTTGAAACACAAAAATGCATGTTTCGGTGTTGATGAACTTGATGATCCAGATTGGTTAACAGATTTAGCCTATCTCACTGATTTCACTTCTCATATGAACAAGCCTAACTTACAATTGCAATTTATTATTCGGATGTATGATTATATTACTTCCTCGGTAAACAAGTTACGTCTCTGGGAAACAATCAATTTCAACTTTGCTTATATTCTAAATTTGGGCCTTTGTAAACCTGCCGACTCTGATATTATAAGTAGCCTACTTATCGCTTACGTTACAAAACAGTAACTGAATAACGATTTGTTTTCAAAAAAATGGCGGACATGTCGGAAAGAGAGAGAGAGCACATTAGCGCAATCTGCAAACAACCAAAAAGTGCAAGTTTCTCGCGCGGTTATTGCCATGCGACGACAATTTTGTGCGATCGAAACCGTCCAACTTTTACACTCTTGCTCAGTGATTCTCAAACTGGGGTTTGAGAGCCGCATGCGGCTCTCCGCAACCTTCCTGCGGCTCTTGTTGATGCTTTAAAAATTAATTACTTTCAAAGAAAGTTTCTCATTGAAAACTAATCATTGACTTGAAATTAAAATGTGGAAGTCTATCAGTTAGTCGAATGGATTCCCCCGTGTTTATTTGCGTAAAGTTGACTTACAAGATGCAATAGTGACGCAACAGTAAGCGTTTTCGCGGCCACTCGGACACTTGGAAAGATTTTTAAACATGGCTGTAATCATTGGCTTGCTTTCGTAGATTTTCAGTTTTTGTCGCATTTTAAATATTATGTATATATATATCAAATCACTCGATGATTATTTTAATTTCTAGAGCATTTTAATTTTGTTCCAGTAATCGAAAATAGTCCCGAAATATCTGGCGATCATCTCAAGCAGCTACTTGCATCCTCCACGATTACGAGCCGCTTTGACAAACTTATTAGGAATCGAAGCCAAATTAAATGGCTGTTAGGTTAGGGTGGGCAAAATCGATTCTTTTTTCGAATCGAATAATTTGAATATTTTTAATACCGAATAGTCGAATATTGAATATTTTTTTTATACATATATAACAGGGATCCAGAACGTCGGAGGTCGATACTCCATTTGGAAATTAATAGAAACATTGAAAAGTCGGCAATAAAGCGTTTTTTTACTGGTTAATGGTTAATTTCATCATAATCGCCGATTGTCTTTGTGACCGCGATCGTTTCGGCGGCGATATCCTAAAGTTTGTTTCTATATTCGCGCCCTTTCTCGTTTTTTTGCAAGAATAAGGGGTCGCCGAATATCAAAGTTTCATATTTCTAGTATACCCTTGCGTTCACATCGGCTACAACTGTTGAATACATTAAGGGCTGATTTCAAAATCAAATTAATTTTATTCTGAGTTTTATCCTCTGCCTTGGATTTGATCCTCCTTATCACCGCTTGTTGTAAATGAATCGTGCCTGTTTAAAGTGAATGGTAACCGAGATGCACATATTTGGTAAAATGATAATTGAGTTTCTCATGCTTTTCTATGGT